CTATGACCTAAGATTATTAAGAAATTATCCTATGTTTTCTTTAAATATTTTTATAGTGTCTTTTTGCATATGTAAATATTTGATTCACCTGGAATTTATTTTGGTGTTAAGGTGTGAAATAGTGATCCAGTTTTGTCTTGTCCAACCCTTATTGAATAACCCATATTTCCTCCATTGTTTTTGAATGCTACCTTTCATAAGATCCAAATTGTCATGTATTTGGGTCTATTTCTGGGTTTTTCATGTTCCATTGATCTCTCTATTCATGTTCTAGTACCATACTGTTTTTTAAAATTGATGTACATTATGTGTTATTTTTACCACAATTTAAAAAATTGATGTACAATATATACACAGAAAAGAGCACAGATGAAAAGCATACATGTTGATGAATTTTAAAAAATGGAACACATTTGTGTAACCAACACCCAGATCAAAAAAGCAGAACATTATCCCTTCCGAGTCACTACTCTCCTCAAGGGTAAACTTGCTTCTGACTCCTAGTAGCAGAAACTAGTTTGGCTTGTTTTGTTTTTTATACAAAGAGAATCACACAGTAAGTACTCTTTTGTGTCTGGTTTCTTTTGTTCAACATTATTTTTGTGACATTCAGCTATATTATTGTGTATAGTTTTAGTCCATTCATTCTCATCACCGTGTAGTATTATATTTGGGAATATACCACAATTTCCTTTCTGAGTATACTGTTAATGTTATTTTGTGGAATCACATATTTTTAGATTACATAAGGGAGAATTGTTATATTTATGATATAGAATCTTCCTATAAACATGTGTAAGTCATTGATGTCCCATCAGTAGCATTTTAAAGTTTTTGTCATGTAAAATTTACATATATAGTTTCTAAGATTATTTCTAGGTATTTGAGTGCCTTGATTGCTATAGCTATTTTTACTTTTAAAAAGGTAAAGAGTAGTTCAGACCTAAGGAAGAGTGTCCATTGTTGCTATAAAAAGCACAGGCCTGGGCTTCCCTGGTGACGCAGTGGTTGAGAGTCCACCTGCCGATGCAGGGGACAAGGGTTCGTGCCCCGGTCCGGGAAGATCCCACATGCCGTGGAGCAGCTGGGCCCGTGAGCCATGGCCGCTGAGCCTGCGCGTCCGGAGCCTGTGCTCCGCAACGGGAGAGGCCGCGACAGTGAGAGGCCCGCGTACCGCGAAAAAAAATAAATAAATAAAAAGCACAGGCCTACTTTATGGGCTCATCATCTTCCAGCTCAGCAAAGAAGAGGAAATGAAGTGGAAGTCCAAAAAGAGGGATTAAAATTAAAAATTAAACCGCAGGATTAATAATCAGAGCAGTGAAAAGCCAGGTGTAATCACTTTTCCTGGAAATTTTCTGGAGGGTGGACTTCTAACTGGTTGGGTAGGGAGACTGGGGAGTAGAAAGGAAAACTTTAGGTGAGATGATCACTCTCAAGTCACTGTGTATTTGGGATTTGTCATCTCATTCCCCCTCTAAGAGCCCAAACCAGGATTCAAAGACTGAGTTGTGAGAGACTAGGATTGGGTGAATTGTGATTTCTTTATTCTCATCTCCCGCTCTGAAGAACCCAGTTCGGTTTCCCTGAAGGGTGTTCTGAACAAGGTGCAGGTGGCAGTAGGTGAAACTAATTAACATAGAATGTGGGTTGTCTGGAGAGTGCAGTGGGCAGGTGTTTCCACTCGGCAAGCCAAAGCAGGAAAGTAGACTTTAGCTAAAGGGCTGGGCAGGGAGGGGTTCTCAAACGCAGTAGCCTTGTTTAGAGCCTTGGCTGCTTACAGAGTTCCCTTCCTGGATAACAAGTAAACCATTCAAATGATATTCAGCTATCTGAGGTTTCGGAAAACAGCACACTCCCTTCGTCCATTGTAGGAATCGCTCCTTCCCCCGTCACTCAAGGCTCTTCACCAGAAACCAGCAATTGGGAATGTGGACCTTAGTATCAGAAATTATACTGGTGCTACTCTTTCGTCTTTCGATCAGATTGATGAATTGTGACAGAGTGTCCTAGGAGAGAGACATTCTCCTCAGCTTCTCTGGCCACCACCATCCAGCTCTAAGTCTCCTTCCTTAACTCCCCTTTACAAAGCAGTTTGGAGGAAGAGGACTCAGGAGTCCTCTGATCTCACATGCTCGCCGGCCTGAATCATCACCACACTCACTGCTAAGAGCAAAAGTCCTACCCAGAGTCTCCTGCCTCTCTCTGAGAGATGGATGCTGGGGGAGACTGAGAAGAAAGATTAAAAACTAACAACCAATCCTCAGCTTCCTGAATCAGGTGCATTAGAGTTACTGAAGGAAGGTGAGGACCAACAACTGACCCCAGTTCCCCTTAAAAGAGTTGTTCAGAGTGGGTGGGGCTGGGGATGACCCCTGGATTCTACCTTTCTCACAGGTCAGTTCCTGCAGCAGAGAGACTCTGGGGAAGGGGGTTATAAGAGCAGACAGTGACTGAGCAGTATGGCAGTGTGGTGGAAAGCATTTGGATTTTGAGTTAGCCCTGAGTCCAGAAGCAGCTCCCTTACTAACCAGCTCTGTGTACCCGAGCAAGTTAATCTATTTGACCTTTAGTTCCATCAGCCAAGATTCCCTGTCTTATAGGGTTGATGTGAGGATTAAATAAGAAAACATACATGTAACCACTAACACAGAATAAATGTTATTTTTCTTTTATCTCCACCACTGTCCCTCCAGGGGAGAAGTGCTCATTGCAGTAACCTTGTTACGGTAACTAGCATCCCTCTCTGAAGGTGTTCTGGAAAGGCCATGTCCGGAGAGCAAGGGGTGGTAGTGGGGGAACCCCACAGGCATTTCCTCTAGGTTGAATGTGCTTCTCGAGGGACACTTTGCCCACCTCTGCTGAGGAGGCCCTAGTCGACACCCAGAGTTACAGTGTCTGGAGCTCTGCTGTCCAATATTGTAGCCACTGGCCACATGTGGTTACTGAGCACTTGAAAGATGGCTAGTGTGACTGAGGAGTAGAACTTAAAATTTATTTAATTTCAATTAATTTAAATGTTAAAACCAATACTTGATTTAGTTATTGGAAAACTTTTAATATGGAACAACTTGGATGTGTGAATTGACTTTCTCAACCATGAATTTTATGAAACCTAACAACACATCAGCTATTTCTGGTGAGAATTTAGTTATCAAATTGGAATGTGTTGTAAGTGTAAAATATACACTAGATTTCAAAGACCTAATATGAAAAAATAATGTAAAATATTTCATTACTCATTTTTATATAGATAACATGTTGAAATGATCATAGTTTGGGTACACTGGGTTAAATAAAATAGAGTATTAAAATTAATTGTATCTGTTTCTTTTGCTTTTTTAATGTGATACTAGAAAACTTGAAATCACATAAGAGACTCACATTCTGTTTCTGTTGGGCTGCTCTGGCGGCTGTGGGACTCAGGCAGCAGCATCTCCCAATCCAGACACATGTCATCCATTCCCCACTGCCTCAGGGGGCTTCCCAGAGTAGATTTCTCTGAACAGCAATGCTGCTTCTGCCCTTTTCTGAATTGCAGTGTGGGCAACTAGTATGAGAACCTCTAGCACCTGACCCCCACAAGTCCCAATCTCACAAGCTACTGGTGGAAGATTTTAGAAATGAGGGAGAGGGCTGTGCCCGAAGGTTATTAGACAACCTTTGGGCTGTCTAATAAACTGGAGAGGGGAGGTTGCTGCAATGCTAAGGGAATTGTGTGTGCACGGTGCCAGGAGCAAGGTTGGAGGCTCTGGATGCTCAAGATTGTGTGATTCTGCAGCCTCACTCTCCAAACTGCCGGGTTCTCTCTCACATTCACCTCTGCCCACAGCCCCCTGCCCCCAGATTCCCACCTCTGCCCCACCGAAGAGCTTGCCTGCTGGTGAAGTCTGGCTGCCCCCATATGGCGCCAGCTTCTCTCACCTGTCAGGGACAGTTTGGGCTGGGAATCTCCTAATGAGTCTCCTCAGGGCAAGGACAAGGGTAGCAGGAATGGCTAGGAAGCTGATGACGCTTTGCTTTTTGTTGGGTGAGGGGTGGGTGGGGGCTCTTGAGGGTGGAGGGGAACTAAGGACGCTGTGCAGATGCTGCTGGAGAGAGAGAGAGAGAGAGAGAGAGAGAGAGAGAGAGAGAGACTCCAGGGACCTCGTGACTCTCCACTTCTCGGCCCGTCCTCCCTGCTCCTTTCCTCTCCCTTCACTCCTCCCCTTCCGGTGATGCTGACGCTGCTGCCCCGTCCCTTGAGCTCTCAGCATCTCTACTTTTTCTAGCTCTGCTTTGGCCTCTCTTTGGAGTACACTCAGAGGCAGTCAGCATCTCCTCCTCCCACTCTTCCTCTGCATCTGGGGTCTCCATAAGACAGCGAGCTCTATCCAAAGACAGCTTCCCATCGGGGCTGCACTAAACACGGAACCAGGGGAAACTGCTGAAGGACGGTGGAAAGGCAGGTGGTTCCTGCTTCTTCTTCTTCCCTCCACTTTTCACTACAGCTTGCAGTGCCCCTCCCACCTTGTTCCTTCAAACCTAGTCCTGCTGTGTTCTGGGTCTCTCTCCTTTGACAGCTGCAGATTCTTGCTTTTGTTAGTCATTTTCTAGGAGTTCTCTTGCTTTCTCCATCAAGGGCACTAGGGATCTGCAATACAGGAATGTTAGGGAGATTCCAACCAGAGTGAGAAAGAAGGGAAGGAGCTGGGTGCCCTGGGTTGAAATTTTTGCAGAGGGATCCTTTGGAAGGCAGAGGATCTCTCCTCCAACTCCGGAGAGGGAGAGTACAGGGGAAAGGGTTGACACTGAAATGGGCTGGGCGTGCTGATATCTCCAGGCACGGCAGGCAACCTTTTGCGTAAACCCCTGGTTGTCAGGCTCGTTAGATTCAGGCAAGGCCATTAGGATACAGGCTCAATGGGCAGGCAGAAAGGGTAGGAAGGGGGAGATCTGACAGAAATAAGGGGTGGAAAAGACTGAAGAAATCTCCAGAGATCACATTTAGTTGTGGCTGCTACTGTCATGGCCTTTTGGCAACAGGTTTAATGCTGTGACGGACAGAGGCAGGTGGTGGGGCTCATGCACACTCAGTGCCAGTGTGTAGTCTGTCCTCCTTCCCGTCTCACACTCCCCTGTCACATCCTCTTCTCCTTAGCTTGAGGTCATTGGCCCTAGTTGTTTGCCCCTAGAGAGGGGACAGAGCAGGAAAGAGAGAGAGAGAGACCACCTGGTTGAGGAGCAGAGACTCCAAGAAGCAAGTGGCACTTCCCAGCCCCATCTCTGAAGTAATCTATTGCTGTGGTTGGCGATTGGTATTGGTTATTAAGGTATGTGTAGGTGGGTGTGAAGGAAGCCTGGAGCTTAGACTAGCAGCCTGGAGGGTTATATTTCCTGCTTTGTATGTGGTGGGGGGAGGACTGGGCTGACTACAGGGTCTATATCTTCAGCTTCCTGGGACCCTCAGGGAAGAGATGACAATGCTATCCTCAAACTGCAAAAGCACAGGGAGGCCGGCTATCAGGAGGCGGCATTAGCTGCTGGCATGGTGCAGGCAGGAGGCGTGGGAGATCTATGCTGTTTGGGACTAGCTTCTGGTCCAAGCAGCCTTGGTTCCCTTCCCCTTTGGTATCTGAAGCTGGCTTGGATGGGTCCCCAGTGTGGAAGGAAAGGTCAGAAGAGCTTGGCAGTGACCCGGTTACCCCCAGAGTTCTTATCCCCAGAGGCTTGGGGTGCCACAAAGTCAAAGGTCATGTGATGTTTGACCCGGCCTTTGCCTTTGCTCCAGAGGGCAATGAGACCAAAGCACAGGGTTACCGAGGTGAGGAAGGGGAGGAAGCCAACTGCCAGCACCATAGCTATGCCTCTGCTATCCAGGAAGAAAGGCCCTGGGATCCCTGGCATGGTGATGTTGGGGTCAGAGAGAGTGCTATTTGGTGGTTCAACTTGGATTACTTCCAGCCAGGTCCTCAGGGAGTCATTCCCAGCTACATTGCTGACCACACAGACATAGGCCCCTCTATCCCGTAGCTGCACAGAGCGGATCTCCAGCGTCCCATCCTCCAGGACCCTTACTCTCCCGGCCCTTCCCAGCCAAGCCCCCTGAGGCCTCATCCAGGAGACGATGGGGGCTGGGTCTCCATCTCCAGAGCAGGAGAAAACGGCATGCCCCCCCTCCTCTGCAATGACCCATCGTGGCCCGGACTTTCGGATCAGGGCTGGTTGGCAAGTGAAGTGCCCTGGAGGTAGGATGTCTGAAAACTCCCTCAGGCTCTTCCCCTGGACGTTCTGGGGGCCGGCACAGGCAGGGGGGGATGTGCCAAAGTCCAGGCGGCGGCGGAGCCGGAGCAGCCAGACGAGGCGGCAGTCACAGGTCAGGGGGTTACCAGACAGCCTCAGGGTGACCAGTTTGTCTGGAGAAGAGAAGGCTGTTTCCTCCAGTGTCTGAAGGGCGTTATCCGCCACGTCTAGGAGGTGGAAGGCAGTCAAACCATGGAAGGCGTGGGCAGCGATGGAGGTGAGGCATGCCCCTGACAGTCGGAGCTCCTGGAGCCGCACCAGGGGGCTGAGCCTCCGGGCCGGGATGGCAGAGATGGGGTTCTGAGACAGATCCAGGACCCTGAGGAAGCTCAGGTGGCGCAGCGCTTGGAAGGGCACCGAGCTCAGGTTGCAGCGGGTGATGGCCAAGCTGCTGAGATTGACCCCAGTCAGGCTCCCAGGCTCCAGAGCCTCCAGAGGTGGCCAATGATGGATCTCCAGCTCCTTTAACTGCCCCAGCCCTTGCAGCGCCCCTCCCGGCAGCCTCCCAATATCTAATTCTCGGAGCCTTAGGACCCCTAGCGCTGGAAGGCGGGCCAGGGCCGGGCCAGGCACGGTGCTGAGGTTGCAGCGCTCCAGGCTGAGGGTGCTCAGCTTGGCCAGTCCAGCAAAGGCTCCCGGAGCCACAAACACCAGGTGGTTGTCCCCAACCTCCAGCTGCTGGAGGCTGCCTAGCTCCCCGAAAGCTCCATCGAGGAAGAGTACAATCTGGTTGAGGCGAATGTCCAGCAGCGTGAGGGAAGACAGGCCTGAGAAGACCCTGGGGCCCACGATTCGCAGACGGTTGCCCTGCAGCCTCAGGGTGAGCAGGCTCTGCAGACCATGGAAGGCCCCTGGCTCGAGGGTGGACAGCTGGTTGTAGCTGAGGTCCAGTTCCTGGAGCAGGCCCAGGCGGGAGAGCATTCCCCGCTGAAGCCCCCATAGGCGGTTCCCACTCAGGTCCAGGAGCTCGGTGTCCAGCGGGAGTCCCCCTGGTACAGCCTCCAGTCGCCGGTGGGCACAGAGCACTGCCCGGGGTTGGGAGGTACAGTCACACACAGCAGGGCAGCCGCCGCTACTGCCCCCAGACAGGAGGAGCAAGAAAAATATGGGGGGCCAGGCTTGCTTTGGAGTAGTGGCCGCAGCCATCCCCTCTTCAATCCTGGAATAGACGATGACATGGCCCTTATTGGAAAGTGGCTTCAGATGATGGGGACCCTGGACTTCCCTGGGCCTCCTTAGAGGAAAGAGAGATATTGAGCTACCCATCTCAGCATGGCCAGCAACTAGGGTGCAGATCTGGGAGGAATTCTGGTGCACACCTCCCTGGAGCCTTCTGGAGCTCCTCTAAGGGGACTCTGTACTTTCCTCCCCCTCCCAACCTGGGTAACAGGCCAAGTGCTTACTAGCTCATGGAACCCTAGTCAAGTGAGGAAAGTTTTAGGGGAGGGAGACAGGAAGCAACAGGGAAGTAACTTTTGAGTTTCCCTACATCTGTGAGATCCAGAAATACCTCAGGTCCCTTCTCCCTGATAGCTGCTCTCCCAATCTCTGCTCTGTCCCTCTCTGCCCACCCTTCTCCCAGGTTATCTACCCACAGCTTTGTCTACGGCCTAAGGGGGATCATATCCCTGGATCCTGATTGGAGACAGGCATCACCTTGACTAAGTCATCCAAGGCTGGGAAGCATGTGGGCCTCAGCTCTGTCCCCCAGGCTCCACTTATTGCCTCTCTGCACTCCTCCAGCCTGGCCCAGGGCCTGAGGCCCCAGACTAACAAGACCCAATCTCCCCAGAACACCTTGTGGACGACAGCCAAGCTGCACATTAGATATAGCACAGGATGCAGGGGGCACGTGGATCCCTCACAAGAACCCCAAGGGCAACCCCGCCTCCCCTATAGGTGACATTAGGGTGTGAGGGACCCAAGAGATGCCCCAGTTTTGTTGCTTGGTCCTCAGACTTAGGCTTCTCTCATACCCCTCCTTCGTGGTGTTTTGATTCAAGCCTAGTGTGTGAGTCTGAGGGAGATCTCTTGTCCCCTTTGGCCTCTGCTGCCTGAGAAAAACACAACAGACAGACTGAGAGCCAGGTAGGCATAGACAAGTGAGGAGAGACAGCGCCTGGCCAGACGCTATGGTGGGGACCAAGGGAGCCCTTGGCTGGCACAGCAGCTCTCTGGGCACAGTCTGTGTGCACAGCCTGTCAACTTAAAGTGGTTTCTGGGTGCCAGGGGCCTGGGCAAAATCAGGCGGATGACCACTGGAGCCTGACTGAGGTGATGGAGGAGAAGAGGTCCCATAGACTCACCCTGTTTAGTGACAACAGGGACCCCAAGGGAGGGGAGGTATTGGAATTGGCAAGGGATGCTACAGAGATAGGACCAACAGAGCCAACTGAGGCAGAAGGCCTCGGTTTCTTTCTAGCTGCAGATCCCAATCACCTTTGACCTTTCAGGCCTCAGGCTTTCTGGGCCCTACAGGGTCAGCTTTCTACCCCACGGCCCATTTTCTCCCAGGTGGAACTTAGGAGAGGCAGTTTAAGAGATGGTGTGATTTCTTCCCCTTTATTTCCCATTCTATGCCCTCTCCTAGAAGGATCGTTCTGGTGGCTACCCTATAGCTAATTCAGAGGACTGTAGTAGTTCAGAAACTGAAGAAAGAGGCCCAAAGAGCAGAGGGACGTAGGACACCACACTGAGGCTTGGGCATGAGAAGGAATGGCACGGCAGAGGCTGCTGAGCAGACTCCTCTGTTCCCAATCCCAACCTAACAGGCATGGCTGGCATGCTAAGAGTTCTCCAGGCAGAGCAATGTCCCAGCCACCCTCATTCCCCTGGTAAGTCCACCTGACAGCTGGCTCTTTATCACTACTGCTGCAGTTCCTGCTCATCCTTCTTTCCTGCATTCAGCAAAAGTGCAGTGAAGCGTGTAACCTAGCTTCCCTCCTTGCCACTCCTGTGAATGTCCTCTTAGTCGCCGAAGCCCGCTGGGCCAGGGGCTGGGGATCTGGCCCCTTCTCTTTAAAGGTCGCTAATGTAATCATAAACTTCCCTTGCCAATCTCCACGGCTACAGGACTGGCTTCCAGCCACTTTGCAGGAAGAGATAGGTGTCAGGACCACTACTTTCTCTCCTTGTATGGGCTGGGGTCTGGGGCATCACCCTCAAGGAACAGGGAGCTTTCTTCTTCTTGTCTCTATGTGGCAGTCCAGAGACACGTCTGATCCTGGATATCCTCTTTAAAGCAGACCTGAGTGAGGCATGGGGACCTACACCGGGAGGGGGCTCTCTCTTGGAGGTAAGATTTCTGGAATATCCACACGGATTGCAGGAAAACCCTTCCCAGAGGTAGAGAGAGCACCCGGGAAATGGAGGGAGGTCTGCTTGGAGTCCTTCCCTCTGGAGAACCTGGGCCATCTTAGTTTTCCCATCAAAGTCCTATGGGGCCAGGATCGACGGTTGGCTGGGCCTGGGGTGGGCACAGACCCTCTAGTCTTGACGGGTCTGGCCTTGTCTCTGAGAACGTTATGGAGAAGGGCAGCTGCAGCTCTGGGACAGGAGGTAGGTGCACTTACCAGAGAAGCTGGAGGGTGGCATCAAGTTGGGCACTGCCTCTGTGCGGGGCTGGGGGCCCGCCCCACTCGAGCTGCACCTCTGCCCCGCACCTCCCGTTGCGCCTCTCTGCCCGCTGCCCCCCTGCCCGCCGCTGCTGCTGTTGCTGCTGCAACGGCTGCTGCCAAGACCGAGGTAGAGAGAAGAGCCAGAAAGCATTTCTCCTTTTTTTTTTTTTTCCTCTCTCTCTTTTTAAACCAGGCAAGAATGAGTCTGCAGCAACCCTGTTGGTGCAAAATAAATAAATAAAGCAACCAGGGAGGGCTGCAGCAGGCGCCACTTCAGGATGGCAGAGGAGGGGAGGGAGCGCAGAGGGAGGCTCCGGAGCCCCAAGGGGTGGAGGGGTCGGTGGTGGAAGCTGCTGGGCAGCTCCGCAGGGTCTCTCGGGCATCCTGATTCCCCCCTGCGGAGCTCTGGGGTCAGGCACTTTCCGTAGGGTTGTCTTTCAGTCTCCCAGATGTGGGGCAGTTCTGTGCAACCTCTCATTCTAAATGTTCCCTGTGGGTATCATTTGTGGGGCAAGTTCTCAGCCCAGAACACCCACTGCGGAGCTTAGTCTGAGATGGCTTCGGTGGGGGGCTCCTGAGGACCAGCCCCCGCGCCTCAGTGGGGGACCTCTCAGGGTGGGTGCAGAATCCTCACAGTGCAGACGGCTGGCAGGGCTGGGAACCTGGGTCCTCACACAGGAATGAGATTGCAGAGCAGCAACACCTCTTGCCTTTGAAGTCGTTTTATAAAGAAGAGCACAGGTTAGGGTTTATGTTTACCCTCCCCTGAGAGAAAAAAAAAAAAACAACCCTCCTGACCACCTGCTGTTTATCCCTCAGAGGAGGGCTCACAGCTATTTATAAAGGCAAGAGAAGTTCTCGGGCAAGATCACGGCTGGAGAAACAGGTCTCCTTGACCCTGCCAGACTTGGTGGTACCCAGGCATAGAGAGGTGGAATCGCATCTGCTGCCTTTCGCCATAACGAGAGCAGGGCTGGAGGACGGGGCCCAGACAGTCCTCCGAGGGTCTGTCCTTGGCCTTCTGACTGTGTCCAGCCATCTCTTCTTTTAGGGTTTCCTTTGACAGATGACAGCTGGGGCTGGGATAGAGTTTGGGCCACCCCACGTCTAAGATTGGTGAACTGGGGCACCAGGTGAAAATGCTCTGGGGTCCCTCAGGATTGGGATATTCCCTGAGGCCACTAAGTTCCTCTGATCTGTGACCTCAAGGAAGACAGAGACTGTGTCAGATTAAATGCGTCTATAGAGCTGCATGATGAGTATGTGTTTCACATGTATGTGGACGTGTGTCTCTGATCACATTTGTGTAACCACTAAAGTCTATTTTTAAAGTGCACATAAGAAGTTTGAGTTCTAACTCTGTCTGTCTGTCTGTCTATCTGTGACGCTCTTGGCCTTCATCATACCCTATCCTTATACCCAAATCCCATAAAAATATTATCCCCAGCCCCTCCCTTATCCCCATCCCATCCTTACCCTCCACATATCTAGTCTCTTTTAGACCCCAGGGTGCCCAACGGTTTCCTTGCTGAGCTGGGAGGAAGGGGGAAGGCAGAAAATCTAACGATCCAGATTCATGTTATATACAGGTCCTTCTGGGCTCCAGATGCCAGTCTCTGAGCTTGATGCATCTCCCCAGCCAAAGCCCCCAGGGAAATGCAATGAGGTATTTCAAAGGCCTATTCTTAGCTTCTGAGCCCAGAGTTGAGTTCTGTTTGTCCAGGGTGTCCTGGATCCCCCTGTTGTCCTGAGGACACCTAGGTCCTCCTAGAGGTCCTTGTATCCCACCCCAGGTCTTCCAGAAGCTGAGAGAAGCCAGGACAAAGCTGAGGCTGGAGATGGTGTTCCTCCATCCCCACCCTCTAGCTCTTGGCCCGCCGCCAGGCAGGCTGGTGGGCAGAAAGCCAGTCTCCGCATTTGCTCACCCCCCCAAAAACAGGCAGAGACCACCCTCCAGGGCGCACAAGAAAGGAAAAGCCCAAGGGGAAGGTGAGCCACGAGGCTCTAGGGAAGGGAACGTCACTTGGACAGCCCCTCAGGTGACTCGATTTCAGTGCTGAAGAGTTCCTTGTAGAGTGGAGGGAAAGCAGCTTGGACCACGATGGGGTGGAGATGCTGGAAGGTTTGCAGCTTTTCCACATGCTGGCTACACAGGCTCCGAAGCTTCCCCTTGGGTGGCAGCTGGACATGGGTTCATGGGGAAGGAAGGTCAGTACTACAGCTCTGTCCCCAGAGCAGAGAAGTACCCCCATCCTTCCTGGGCTGGGATAACCCTCCTTGCTTTCTCCCTGCACACTTGGCACTTGTGGAACAGCCAGATCCCATTGGTAGGGGTAGGTCTGTGTTCAGGCAACTGGAGGCTAGCGAGAGCTGCTATGGGACAGGTACATGTTTTCTGGCTGAAACTCCCAAATGGTGTTCCTTCTACTCCTAAGATGAGCCCTGTTAAAGACTCTCTAACTCATATTTTATGCTTTTATAATAGTGAAATTCTGTCACTCTCTGTTATGTAATGTTATGTGCCTCTTTGCCTTTGTTGATACTGTTCCCCTCCCCTGGAATGCCTTTCCAATTCTTCTGTGCTTGGCTAATTCTTACTCACCTTCAGTGTTACCTCCTCTAGGACTATTTCCCTGGGTTAAGGGCCCTTCCTTTGGGCTTCCCTCTGTGCAGCACTGAAATCCCATTTTACGAAAATGATCCAATTTGTCTGTCTCCCTACCCTAGATTTAAACTCCTTAGGTAGGGTCTCTCTCTCTCCCTTCCCTCCCTCCCTCTCTCTGTATCCTCTGTAGCTATCAAACTGCTTGCACATGGCAAATGCTCAGTAACTGTTTGTTTGGACTAAGCAATTTCCAAGCAGGTACCCAACACTGCAAACAGTAAACCAACACTGCCAGCACTCAGCCGGTGGAGGGGAATGAAAAAGGCCCAGAGAGCCATGAGGAGATAGAGGCAGGGAGACCTCACTGGAGAAAGGCTGAGAAAACCATTTATCGTCTGCAATTTCCTGTATAAGCAAGTGAACCTTAAAAATACCTCTCACCAGCCACCCCCTTTTCCCCAGCTTAGTTGCCTAGGAAAGGGCCAGTCAGGGAAGAGCAGGCAGCATGGGATCCCTTGAAATCTCTTGAATTCATTCTCTTTTCATTCCTCCTGCTTTATTTTGCGTTTGTCTGGGCTATTGCAATAGCTTCATTCATTCATTCTCAAATATTTGTTGAGACCCTTTTGGCTAGGAACTGTGATGGGCTGATCAGTGAAGAAAATAAAATCTCTACCTTTATTAAGTGTATATTCTAGTGAGGGAGCCAGAAAATAAACATATGTTAGAAAACGTCTTTAAAAAACAATAAAGCAAGGGGCTTCCCTGGTGGCGCAGTGGTTGGGAGTCCGCCTGCCGATGCAGGGGACGCGGGTTCGTGCCCTGGTCTGGGAAGATCCCACATGCTGCGGAGCGGCTGGGCCCGTGAGCCATGGCCACTGAGCCTGCGCGTCCGGAGCCTGTGCTCTGCAACAGGAGAGGCCACAACAGTGAGAGGCCTGCATACTGCAAAAAACAAAAAAACAAACCCCCCCCCCAAAAAACAAAAGAAAAACAATAAAGCAGAGTGATGGGTAGAGGGCTTTTTGTATGGGGTGGTATGGGAAAACCTCTCCAGAATGAAGGGCTGGAGCAGGCCATTTGGAAAACTAGGGGAAGAACCTTCCAGGCAGCTGGAAAAGCAAAGTCCTGAGAAGCAACCGGGCTTGATGTGTTCAAGAAATAGCGAGGAGGCCAGTGTTGCTGGAATGGGTGACTGAGAGGGCAGTGGAAGGAGATGAGGTGAGAAAAGAAGTCGGGGGGCCAGACACATCATGAGGCCAGTCGGCCACGGCACAGACTCTAGATTTGATTTTCAGCATGATGGGCAGCTCTGGGAGTGCTGAGAACAGTGCTGTGTGGCTGCTGTAGGACAGACAGGGATGGAGCAGGGGTCCAGTTAAGGAGGCCTCTTTAATGGTCCAAGTGAGAACTGACAGCTAGGGGGTAACAGTGGGAGGTGATGTATTCTGAAGGTGGATCCAACAGAGATTTGCTTTCCAACTGCTCTCTCAGGTTCTCCTCCCCCTAATCTATTCTACCAGACTTGAAGTTTATTTAGGTCAGAGCCTGTCGTATAAGTCACTTCTGTATTCTCGGCACCTAGCACTCTGCCTGGCACATAGCAAGTGCCCATTGCCTGAACCGTTACATAAATGGTTCCTTTACACTGGTTCCAAATTAAATTGCCTAAATAATAGCTCTGATGATATCATTCGTCTAGCCTTTGGTGCTCTCCATTGCCTGGAAATAAAGTCGTAACTCTTTAATATGGCCTTGAAAGTCCTCTCTGATTTGCTCCTTGACCTAATTTTCAAGCTTGTCTTCTGCTACTTCCTTGCCCCCATCAATCAATCCCAGCTCCTGACCTTACACTTTAGTCAAAATGTTCCATGAACTATTCTCTGTATATGCATTATCTTGCCTCCTTATTTTTCTCCATATTGTTCCCTAAGCCTGGAATGCCTGCCCCACCCCCTGAAGGCCTGTTAAAATCTTACATATTTCATGGCCTAGTTTAAGTGCCACCTTCTCTGGGAAGCATTTATGACCCACTCCTTTTACCCTCAAGTTATTTTTAATCTCTCTTCCATGCTCTCACATTTCCCCAATATCTCTTATTGTAGTACTATATTAGGGGCACAGGGATACGGTAGAAAAAGCCCTGGGATTAAAACTTACATTTATCGCTTATGATTGCATAAACTTGGACAAGTCATTTAAGTTTCCTTATCACTACAGGGAGATTTTAACACCTATCTTACTGACTGAGTTGTCATAAAGATGAGCATATCTGTGAAAGCACTTTGTTAATCCCATTATTATTATATCCCATAACACATTCTCCTCTATCTTAGGGTCATTGGTACACGAGTCTCTTCTTCACAGCAGATTAAAAACTCTTGGTGGGGGTAAGGACGGCACCTCTGTATCTTTCCATTCCACAGTACAAGCACATGCTGGGTAAGTGGTGGCTCTATTAAACTGAATTGTTCCCTGGAGGTCCCTCCCAATTCCAAGCTCCCTAACTTCCCATCTTTACCCACATGGAAGTGACTGACCAGTCCCCTTGCCCCCAGGCTGTTGCAAGCTCTCTCACACAACTTAGCACTCAAGCACTTCCTCCTCTGGACCCTCAGACCGTGGCCCTCGCAAGCCCTGATGTCACAGACCTGGCACTGGGCCTGACCTCCTCTGTCCCAGGGACTGCTCCTACCTTTGCCAGGATGCCGTGGCGATGAGTCTTGCAGAGATGATGATGAAAGGCCAGCTCCAGACTGTACTGCAGCTGTTCTACTTTCCTTTTCTCTTGGAGCCCTGGCCGGTCTGAAGGAGGGGATGGGACCATAGCAAGAAAAAGAAAGAACATGGACGTTAACTTCCCCAAAAGGGTGTGTCATTCTGGACATCTGTGCTGAATATAGATCTTCCTAGCTGAGTGAGAGAGAGTGTAAGTGTGTGTGTGTGTGTGTGTGTGTGTGTGTGTGTGTGAATGTGTGTGTCTTGGTTTGATAATGGTAAGCTATGGGGCCTTGGGCTGGGCTAGCTTTCTACAAGGAAAACTGGAGAGAGAAGAAAGGAATGAGACATTCCAATCTCCCAGTTCCAAGCTGCTCTATCCCTGGTACCCTGATATTTCACATAGCTAATTCAAAGCTAGGCACTAAAACTCTGCTGTGGGGAAGAAAAAAAAAAAAAGTTCTCTCTTCTTCCCCGCCACCTGGCAGGGACGGCTCCAGATAGGAGATGGGCTTTGTAAAGCCACCTAGGTCAGCAACAAGGCCTCTGCAGCAGTCTGTGGCCAACTTCAAGAGACAAACCACCTTTTGCCCTGACTCCATAAAATACCCGGAAGTCATCTTTTAAGTCTTTATTTTCAGTTCAAGGGGAATGTTTAGGTCTCTACTCATTGGCAGAGCCAGAAGACTGATAATCTTGGTCTGCAAACTCAGGTTAGCAGCTCAAGCCACTTCCCCAGGTTCTCTGAATCCTTAGCATTCAGCTGGCTCACCAGCCCACTACATTCCAGCGGAGTGGACATCCAGAGTCCTGCCATGATGGCATGTTGTCTTTTGTTTTGGTTTGGTTTTCGTTTCTGTTTCTGGCTGCGCTGCGGGGTTTGTGGGATCTTAATTCCCCAACCAGGGATTGAACCCATGCCCTCGTCAGTCAAAGCGTGGAATCCTAACTACTGGACCGCCAGGAATTCCCGATGGCATGTAGTCTTGAAATGAGTTCACACAGAGCAGTGATTCTCAAGCTTGGTGGCACATTACAATCACTTGTGAGAGGCTGTTAAAACTTCTGGTGTTCCGGCAGCACCCCAGATCAATGACCTCAGAGTCGCAGCAATCATTTTTAAAGCTCCCCAGGCGATTCCAACGTGCGGCCGCAATGGAGTCACTGACAGGGACTCACAAGCAGACTAATTTCTCCCAGGGAAATGGCTCACTTCCGCTCTTCCTCACGTCTCCCCACTTCTCCAACCCCGCCTGCGCTGCTCTTTTCCCTCTGTCAGGCTCCCCTGGATCTTTATTTTAACTCATATTTTTACAGCAATATTCGGGGCGGGGGGGAGGGCTCATTCTGCTCTTTAAAGTGACTTCCCAGATTTAACCACAAGCGAAGGTCCAGACTCTTCAGTATCTGTTGCGCCCTCCCACTGCCTGAATGTCCTTTACCCAAGCCCAGTGACACTCACTGGCGTTGATGAGGACGAGGGCCGTGTAGAGGGCAATCTCGTCCTCGGAAAAATGCAAGGCACTCAGGGAGTGGGAGAAGTCAAAGATGGAGCTGATGAGCTCGCTGCAGCCTGGTGGGGTGGAAACGAAAGAGTGAGCAAGGTGGGTGAGGCCACAGTGCCCGAGGACACCCGCCCCTTGGTGTTTGGAGCAGAGCAGGCAATCTGTCCTGAAAAGAGGGTGCCCTGGGTCTCCGGGATAGGGTTGGCATCCGACTCCTCTCTCTCATTTCCCCCTGCCCCTCACCCAAGGCTCGGAAGAGCTCCATGCCACCGTATTTGCCTTCAAAAAAGACTGTATGGTTGTCAGCATTGTAGGCCCGGCACATCCTGACCAGCACTACTTCCATGGCTCCTGGGGAGTGGGGAGAAAGGCAGGTACACCATCAAACATGGCCAGGAATCTGTCTCTGTCTCCCTCAGTGTCCCAGTTCCCTTAAGGCGCCTCCCTCCACTCAGCCCTGCCCGTTTCCTCATCTGTCCCCACTGCCCCCAGGCCCGCCCCCTCTCCCTGGGCACCTGCTTTGAGTAGCACGATCTGGTCATTCTGGCAGAGCTCCATAAAGCCCGAGAGCCTCTTAGCGAACTCCACCACGTACTGAATGGCCTCGGTGAGGCGGTGGGCACAGCGTTCCCACATCTCCCACATTGACTGCAGGGAAGGAGGGGGTCCCACTGTAGCCCTCTTTATGACCCCGGGACCCCCCCAAGGCCCTGGGAACCCAGACAGATAAACTGCAGGGGGTAGATTCTGAACCGCCACATTCTCAGCACCCGTGTTTTTAGCCTATTCTTAGCACAAATGTGCACTCCAAGTTAATTCCTGTCACTTGGACGCGCTTAGCGCCCACCAGCCACTGGCGCAGAGTTAGCTGTTGTGGTGACTTAACAAACGTCTGAGATACAGCTTTTGCCCTCAAAGAGTGTGCATCTTGTCGAGGTGACTAAGACATACCAAACAGGTGCTTTTAGCGCAGGAGCTGTTGTCAGAGTGACAGGAGGGAGAGAACAAGCTTTGGAGCCAGATGGATCTGAATTTGCCTTCAGATCCACTACTTTGCGACGAGGAGTAAGTCTACGAGCTCCTCTGAGCTCAGTTTCTCGGTCCATTAAGAACAGAGATGGATGCCAGCCTCATAGGTTGGTTGTCCTTAGGGTCAAGGATAATTTATGTAAAGCGCTCAGCACAGTGCCTGGCAGAGAAGGAGCCCTTAACAAATGCTGCTCAGGATTCTGACTCTTGTCGTCGTCGATGGAGGAGGAAGGAGCTTAGGCCGAGGTCTGTTCGCCAATGTCGGGGTGATGGGGGAGGTAGGATGAAGGACGTGTAAAATGACCACAGGCAGGAGCTGAGGAGAAGCTCTCATCCATCTACGAGGGTGCGTACTTAACAGCGGTACCCACTGTGTCTTTCTGGGATACCCTGCCTCGCCCCAGCCCACTTGTGTGTGCAGGTGGCTGTCTCTGGACCCCCCAGTGGTGGTGGTAGGTCCTCCCTTCCTTGCGCGGTCCCCTGGCCTCACCTTCCTCTGGTAGCCGGCCACCTCCTCTCGGGAGAAGACGGTGGAGCGCTGTCCGAGCAGGTCCTCCAGCCGCAGCTGACACGTCTCTCGGTAGGACTTACAAACGTTCTGCACCAGATGCTCTGGGGCCGGAGAAGGAGGAGGAAAACAGGGCCTCGATCTCAGCCAGCTCCTACCCTTCCCATACAAGGGGCACTCCACTGCCTGGCCTAGCGCTGCTCTGCCTCCCCCCGAGGCCCCTGTGCACGTCTGGTTTACACGGGGTGCTGACTTGGGGTGCTGACCCCCCCTTCTTGGAAGCCCCTCCCTTATCTTCCTCCCCCTCCCTTCTCTCCAGCTACCTCCCCAGGGGCTCACCAATCTCCGTCAGGGAGGCATAAGGCGCCTCTGGGGTGCTGCGGAAACTGGGGCTGAAGTAGCTGTCCGGGCCCCGTCCTGGTTCCCCAAGCCCAGGGTGCCTGGGGTCCTCGAAGTGGAGTCCACGCCTGTCAGGGGTCGGCTGGCTGCCTGTGCCATAGCAGTTCTCTCTGCCCTCGGTCTTGCCCCGCTCAGGGCTGTATTCCAGGTGGTACGAGGCCCCGTTGAGCCCGGCCTTGGCCAAGCTGTTGGAGTAGGAGGGCCCGCAGCCTGGGGCTCTCAGGAGACTGGGCGGACAGGCTGAGGCCTCCGGCAGGTCAGGCGAGGAGCCCAGGGGCAGCTGCCCATCTGGGAGCCCCAAGGTGCAGGTGAGGGGGTCTGCTCCTTGGGCTCCTGCAGGAGGGGTCTTGGCCGCTTGTTCTCTTTGCTGCTGTTGCCGCTGTTGCAGTTGTTTCTGCACCTCAGCATGTAGGCTGTCCCTTTGCTTCTTGGACATGCGGCCAAACTTGACAGCTGAAAGAGGTTCGGGGATCAGGAGTTTTTGAGGGGGGAGGACAGGGTACAGGGCAGAGTGAGTAGGCATCTGCGTCATCACAGGGTTAACTTGCTGCTCCCTGAATCGCTGACTCCAAGCAGAGCAGAGCTTCTCCAGTCCTGCCTGAGAGCCTCCCTTCAGGGCACTTTTGTTCAAGACCCCTCCCACCTCTCACTCTGGTTTGCTTCGGGGCTCGGTGCAACCCAGACATTTCAGTCTCCCGGGCAAACGCTCCTGGCTCGAATCCAGCTTCTACTAGTGGCAGAATTCAAGCAATGAGTCCTGACTGAGGGCCCTGGCCTCCTGATATGGGGCTGGGGGTGGCTGAGTGGGGGGCCTCGAGCTATATTGGGGTCACCACGCCTGTCTAGGAGGGTCGGAGGAAGAGGAGAGCAGAGAGCACAGGTCTCCCTGTGGTCAGGCCTGCAGGCTCCCTGGTGACCTAGATACTCACCACAGCCCAACCCAGGCTCCGCGGCTTGTTTCTGAACATCCTCTTCTGCTGTCTCTTTCCTGCCTTTTCATTTGCCCTGCCACCCCTCCCAGGTGTGGGGACACAGCCCCTGGTCGCCCCGCCTGCCCCTCTGCAACCCTGCGTGTTTCCTTTCACTTTGTTATTTTGGGCGCTGAAAAGTGCTGACAGGCTCCTTCTGGCTCCTCATCACCTCAGGTCTCCCCCGGCCCCCGGCCTGGGCTCCTTCTGCGGTGTTGCCGTGGGAGCGGTTTGGGGGCTGCGAGGGGGCAGTGGCCGAGGAAGGTGGAGAAAAGCCACCAGGAACAGCCGGCCTCCCCAGCCTCAGCCTTCTGGGCTGTTCTCAGGCCAACTGTGGTCCCATTCGCAGCCATCGCCCCCTGGCCCAGGCTGGGGATGGGGCACTACGGAGGGAGATGGAGCTGGAACTGGAGCCATGGGGCAGGAGGGAAAGATGTGGAATGCGGATGGGATCTGGGTCACAGGGGAGTCGGGTGAGGAAACTCCATCCGGAGGAAGGAGCAAATGAAGAGTCTGGGACCTTGGGGAAAGGAGGGTTGTTGTAGCAGAGCCTGAAGCTGGGGGCTGTGAAGACCTTTGATGAGGGTAGCCTGCCCACTGCCTCGGTGAACAGTGGAAGAGACAAGGGCCTGCCAGAGGGAGGGACGGAGCCCCCAAAGGGCGTCCTAAGCCCTGTCTGGCACAGCAGGTCAGGCTGCCCCTCTGGAGACTGAAGCCCCGGGGGCTGCGTGCTTGGCCTCACCGTCTCGGGACATGCCCAGGGCCAGGCATTTCTGCAGGCGGCAGTGCTGGCATCGGTTTCGGCTAGTGCGGTCAATGGGGCAGTTCTGCTGACGGGTGCAGGAGTAGGCCACGTTACACTGCTGGCTCCGGCGGAAGAAACCCTGGGGGAGGCAGGTGGAGACCAGGGCTGCTGATCTGGGCCAGGCCCAGCTCAGTCCCAAGTGCCTGCAGCCCGCAAGCTCTAGCCCCACCTTTTCCAGGTCTTACACGACGCCTCAGTTTTCTCTCCTCCATTGTAATCTGTCCTGCAATCACTTCCCTAGTTGAAGACAAGGCCCTCCTGTGCACAGGGCTCTCCAGGCAAGGTGCCACCCGGGCAGCTCCCTAGCTGTCTCAGACCAGCCCTGCAGGCAGAACAAAGGCCACCGAGCCCCCTCTCCCCATCTCTGAAGAGACTGTGTATGTGTGTGTACTCACCTTGCACCCCTCACAGGTGATAACCCCGTAATGGATCCCAGATGATTTGTCCCCACAGATTTTGCAAGGGATCACTTCAATTTGTGCTAGAAGAGGGAAAGAGCAGAGGTCAGCCCAGGAGCCGTTGGTGTATCCTACCGCCTGGACCTGGGGGGCAGATACAGGGACACGGTGCTCCCCTTGCTTCCCTCCCCCGCTCCAGCTTGCTGTTTCCCTCTTGCAAGACGGATGAAGGAGTGAATGCCAAATGCCACTCAGCAAAGTGTCTGTGGAGGCTGTTTTAGTTTCCCGGGCTGGCCGGGGGTTGTATCAGTTCTACAGAGGCAGAGAAAACAGCTGCAGAGGCCACCTGTTCAGCCCCTCAAGATGAAAAGCTCTAGTTGCCTCCCTCTTGCCTGGGGACCTAGGAGTCCTCACGGCTTCACAACACCTGCTTCCCGCCCAGGGGGCTTCCTCTGTGCCGCCCTCCCCCACTGGGGCTCGGCCCACAGGGGCAGAGTGTGGGGCATGGTGGGAAGATGTGGTCCACCAGGCAGGAGGCACCTGGGGGACAAGTAGAGATGCCAGCCATCCTCGGCTGGGCAGTGAAGGCTCAGGGAGGGGCTGTGCAGAGACCAGGGGCCGAAGGGGGCAGGGTCCACTGGGTGGGCCCCAGAGAGGGTAAGGAGAAGCCGAGGTGGAGCCCAGGAAAGTGGGGTCAACAAGCCAGCTCTGCTGGATGTCTGAGAGCCAGGGAGCGGATCAAACAGGCCTCCTAGGTTCCTGGCCCCAGAGCAGAGGGTGGCTGTGCGTGTCTCCACGTATGAGAGTGTGCATGCTAACGTGTGTACGAGGGCCTCTGCGTCCAACTGTGTGCGCACAAATCATGAAGGTTAACACTGGCTGGGACTACGGACCATCAAATTCAACCTCTTTTTTTCCTTCACAGATGAAGGAATAGGCCAAATGAGATCAGGTGGTTGGCCCAGGTTCATACCGCTAGGTTACCCAGGAGCTGGGTCTATATCCCAGCTCCCCATAGCTTTCCATTCGGCTGTTCTGTGTATATGACTTTTGGGGCACACACATCAGTGGGCATGTTGCATGTTTGAAGGGGTGCTCGTGTGTGTGTGTGTGTGTGTGTGTGTGTGCGTGTGTACACATGAAAGGTACATGTGGTTCGTGAGCCAATAGGCATGTCTGCTTGAGCCAGTGTGCACACGTGCATATTTGTTAGTGTTTGTTCACTGGCTGCCAGGACCCCCCTCTCTCCCGCTGAGCTCACTATAACCTACCTCCCCGCTCCCTTCACTGCGGTTGGTTACTGGCCCCAGGTTTGCCCCATCCTTGTCAATGCCCACAGCTCTCTGCTGAGTTTCAGGGACCAGGCATTGGCCTCCCCCCAGCCAATCTTTGAAGGCACTGGGCAGAGCTGGTGTCCCTTTCATCACTCCTAAGGGCATGTGGGTCTCTCCTTTGCCATTGCTGACCTGCTGCCTCCCCTCCGAGGGGGCATGCCTGGGGTGGAACACGTCATAAATTCGTCTAGGACCGTAGCCCCTTCTCATCTCTGATCCCAAGGGTCAGAGGAAGCAGCTGCCTGCCTATAGGGCAAATCCACAGTCCTGTGAACTCTCCTCTGGTCCAGGCCTGGACCCTGGTTGTGTGTAGGACCTGCTGGTGTGAGGTGGGGAGGGTGACCATGGCTCCGTGGCACTCCCTGAAATCTTGTTTCCATCATCCCCTCAGGCTAGCCTTGAGCTGAGTCAGGGCAAGCAGCTGCCTTCTCGCGGGGGACGGGGTGCACAGGTGTCTAAAGTCCCTCCGTTAGCGCTCGAGGCTTCTCCTCACCCCCAGCCCCACTAGTCTGCCCAGCACCCACACTACAGGCTGTGATCATCCAGGACAGACAGCAAGGGAGCTTTGAGATTCTTTCCAGCAAATTAAGAGCAGATTGGTATGAATGGAGGGAAGAGAGAACAAGGGGTGGGGATTGGGTGCCTGGAAAAGGGGCAGAGAACGTGGGGGCACATGCACATCTGGCCACTGGATTCTCTGGGTCTCAGTTCCCTTGCCAGTAAAAGGTAAGCATAGCCTTCACCACCTGGCCAGGGGGTGACGGGCGGTAGCACCGTGGGTATGTGGTATCACCTGTGGAAAGCGCTGCGTGGCCGCGAGCACTGTGTGTGCGGGCTACCACCAAGCACAGCAGTGGGCGCAGAACCCAGAAGGCATTTGAGGCTCAAGAGAAGTGCTTGTGCCCTGTGGAGTCTGCTCTTGCCTCTCCCCAACGCGTTTCCTCTCCAACACCGTGGGATCTCCCTCCTCGGTGGCCTTAAGCCCAGAGAGGGCAGAAACCAACATGGGTCACCCAAAAAAGTAAGCGGGAGGGAGACTAGGCCAAGCCACAGTGGGAACTCGGGCTCCAGCCCAGTCCTCAACCACAGGCCTCCCTGCCTCTTCCCTTCTCCAAGAGCCACATCCGTGTGCGTGTGTGAGCTGACCACACGGGTAACTCAGACACATCTCTCTGCCCCACAGCCTGACTCACTGCTGGTCCTGGCCCTAGGAACCTCACAACAGTGTCACCAAGACCTCGCCCTTCTCATAGGATGATGTGGCCAGCCACAAACCACCTTCACAAATACCCATGTTTGGGGGACACCAGAGTTTAGACCCCAGCCACCAGGCCAGCCACTCCCCCATGCTCCCCAACCATAGTCCGAGACAGAGGTGCACAGTGAGGCAGGCACACAGGGAATGAGACAGGCACATAGGATCAGGGGTTTCAGGCTAGAGGGTCAGACCCTCTAGCCTCTGAGCTAGAAAGACCAAGAGTTTTGGGACCCGGAGACAACAGAGACAGACCCAGAGAGAGAGAGAGCCGCAGAAACACAGAAAAACCCACACTCGTGCCCTGGGCCCATGCCCAGCCCCTGGCCCTCTCAGCACTGTCAGGCCCTCTTATCCTACTCCTGCCTCCTGGCCCTGCCACCTGTCCCCCCGCAATGCCATCTACCCAAAACCTCAAAGAGAAAGTACCGGTGCACTTGAGTGTGACTTGTGGAGGAGGGGAGGGGAGAGAACGGGAAGAGGACTGGCAGAGGTGGAGGTGGGGTGAGCCAGAGCTGAAAAACACCTCGGATACCTCACCTTCAAAACCTCCCCCTTGAGCCCTGTCCCTGAAGCAGCAGGTGGTGGGAACGCAAATTGGGGAGGGGAGCTGAGTAATCACAGGATTACTCAAGCTGTTTCCCGGGAGCCTGGCCTGCCAGGAACTTACCATCTAAGGGCCTGACAGTGCCAGGAACTAGAACCAAGCCGAGGTCAGGAACGTCTAGGCCAGCCCCTGCAGCACGGCTCCCGCAGCAGCCCTCACTCTGCCCAGCCTCACCTGCTGCTTCGGGAAGATCTTTGTAGCTCACACTGTAGCTCTCTCCCAGGGCCCACCAAAGGAAACCCTCCAGTTCCAAGGAGGGAGAAAGGCCCCTGTGCACACGATACCTCCTGAAACCACCTAGTGACTGCGTGACTCTAGACCTCTGAGTCTTAAACAAGATCACCTAGCGAGCTTGTTAAAATGCAGGTCCCCACACGGCAGGTCTGAGGGGGGTCCAGGCTCTCCCATTTGAACAAGCTCTTGGTTGGTGCCCAAGCTTGCTGGTCCTCACCCTACCTTTCTGAGTAGCAAGAATTTAGTCCCTCTTCCTGTTTATGCCTCTTCCTGGGGCATAAGGGTGGGGTTGGTGGTCTCTTCCCCAGCTCATTCTTGTATCTTCCCTGCCATCCAGTGTGACCTCTAAAACTTTATTCTGACATGGTACTAGGTAAAGAAAATGAATCTCTTCTGGACTGCTTCGGGGATTGAAGGATCCCCAGGGAGCTTCCTCTGAGCACCTCCTATGCGGGGAAATATGGTAGAGACAAAGTAGGCTGTCCCCCCTCCCTCCAGCCTCCTCTAATCTCACCTTTCTCACAGCTGCGAGATTCATTGATAGGGCTCTTTGAATGCATCCAGAGCTTGGCCCTGTGCCACCTTAGGAAGCCAGCCCTGGGCCCTGTCCAGGTGCCCTACACCACAGAGAGGAAGTGGTGGGAGCAAAGGAGGGGCTGCAACCCAGGGGGATCTCTCCCCTCAAACCCCGGAACCATCCCCCAGCTCTGGTAGAGAAAGGATGCAGCCAGAGGACCCAGATTAGCTGGGGTCCTCATCTTCTCCTGGTGCCCCATCAGTCTAAAGCTAGGCTTTTCCTCTTTTCTCTTTCTCTCTCCTTTTCTCCAATGGACATCGATTAAGGCCGAGTAATAAAGATAGACATCAGCACTGGCTGAATTCTTATTCTGTGCCAGGCGTTACATACATTTTTCATTTAATGGTCACAGCAATCCTGTGAAGTAGGTACTATTTGTATTGTCCCCATTTTACAAATGAGAAAACTGAGTCCAGGGGAGAGTAAGCGGCTTGACTAAGGTTACACAGCCAGAAGTGGCAGATCTGGCATGTGAACCCAGGTCTCTGTAACCTGAGAGCCAGTGTCCCCAACCATTGAGCCATATACTCTATAAGGATGAGACGCCCAAATGCACTGGGCGGAATGGGACGGGGGACAAGGTTACCGGCTGCAGGGGAAAGTGTGAAGTGAGGGGGTGGGCTAGGAACGGAATTCGGGGAGGACACCCATGGAACTAAAGCCAAGATTCATGTCTAGTCTAAAGATCCAGAGAGACGTTATTCCCTCTGTCCCACACCTTCTGTGGTGCCAGCCCCCTCCTGCTTTTACCCTCGGCTTCTAAGGCCAAGGAGGCATGGCTCGCCCATCCCACCAGAGCTCCTGACTTGGGACTCCTCGGGAGACCACAGCTCCCTTGGGGTGTGGACTGGCTTTCACACATCTTGGTAGGTCTCTCTGCAGGAACAAATGAGTGAGTGAGCAAGAGGAATGTATCTCTTTTCTTAGCTTAGGGCCCCCTCACCCCACAGCCCAAACTAGTCCCTCTCCTCCCACGGAGACCACAGCTCCGGCCAGGGAACCCCTGTGTACCCCAGCCTGTCACCAGCTTCCCTCCTTTCTCAGCTCTCAGTTCCCACAGCTTCTGCAAAGCTGGA